TGTAGATGTGCGTATCTGTTTTGCAATCATCACCCTGTACCACCGGGGAATTACTTGATGATGATTTCTCTCCTGCTAGGTAACTAATTGCTTGATTGCAGCTCTAATGCATAAACAAATAAATTAAAACTCTGGCTTCATTGCCTCTGATCTCAACCACTTTCTGCTTCTGAGCTTCCTTCCAGGTATTGCTTTTGTTTTACAAAACAACAACAACAACACACCAGTGTTTACTCAGAATAGCTCTCCAGGTTTTCAACAGCCATGAGAGTTTGAGATCGGTGGGTCCAGTTCTGGCTTACGCTACTGTTGATGGACCCGTTGATGGATTCACCCCAGAGAGGACTTCCCCCACCCTTAAGGGACTCCCTGCTTTGGAGGATCCAAGAGGATCTTCCCTGGGGCTTGTCAATCCCTCAAGACCCTTTTCTTCATACAGGCGAAGAGAAGTTGGGTTTTCTTTCTTTGTTGGCCTCACTTTGACCTAAGTTCTGTTCACTGCTCCCTGACTTTGCTTCAAAGAAGAAGAAGATCAGCCCAGAATGATGTAATTAATGAGGCTCCAGAGCCAAGAAAAGTGCTATTAATAAGAAGAGACACTAATAGCCTTGATGGATGAAGAGCAGGCCTAGCGCTGTTCCGAGGTCCTTTGAAGCGCTGTAAGAGCGAAGGGTTTTTACTAGGTGTGTGATGCTTCTCTGCAAACATCTCAACCCATCAAACCAACATCTATAAACAGATTTGTCTACGTAACATCCAGTTTCATTATGCTGCTGCCAAGGTTTTTTAGAGAACTGGAGCAATGCAAGGGGACTGAGCGAGAAAGAGACAAACAAAAGCTAAGCCAGTGGAAGACCAATTTAGCATCAGCAAGAGGAACCAAAGGAAGGACCTGAGACCATCAGAGCTTTCTTAATCACAGCCCAATGGATGCAGCCCCACACACACACACACACACACAGCAGAAAGCCACACACACCTTAGTGAGAGCACACAAAGCATTGTGGCACAGGCTGGAGAAAAAGTGGGCATAAACAGTCGTTCCCTGATAGTCCTTTTTCTTCTGGGTTCTCCTCTACCTTCTACACAACAGCCTACACAGAAGAAGCAGGAACCTCTGAAGCCTCTAGCCGATCTCACACAAGGAGTTTGTAAACAAAGGTCTAAGGGACAGGCCCTGAGGAAATCCCTGGATGTCCAGCTCTGCTTTGAGCTGCCTGGGACACTCTGGGAGTTGAAGCAAATTCTTAAATTTGCTGAGGTGGACAAACCCTGCTCTAGAGTTTCCTTTGTCTGGTGTCCAAGGCTGCAGGGTTGACTAGTCATGGAAAATATGGGTCCCGGGACACGATACGTCACCCAAGCTGGTTTGAAAACAAGTTTCTAGCCCTTAAGATTTCAGGCAGAGATCAGAGAGGCTTGGGAGAACTCTCATGAGTGGCAGAAGTAAGAGAAAAGAAATCCAAAGCAGGTGTTTTGTTCTCATTCTAGCCTAGAAACCTCACACCTTGCTTTGTCCACAGGAAAAAAAAATGAAAATATCATTAGATGAATAAGCTAGGTGGGTCTTCGCCCTTCTCAAGATATTTGATTCCAGGTTGTAGACACTAGAATTGCCCCTTGGGCCAGAATGACAGAATGACAGAGTTGGAAGGGAATTTGGGTACTGAGCCTTGAGATACCCCACCTATCATCCTGGCCAAGGGCTGGGATTTGGGAATCCAGGTGTTTTAAGCATCACCTGCAATAACCCCCAAGCCACCAGCGTAGGTCCAAGTAGGACCCGAGAAAGGTCTAATGGTACCTAAACCAGATGTGAAGAGCAAAAATATTCAAGTCTCTAGCACAGGGGCGCTTCAAACTTGATAGCTTTAGGACTTGTGGACTTCAATTCCCAGAGTTCCTCCTCCTCCAGCCCATGTTAGCTCAGGAACTCTGGGAGTTGAAGTCCACAAGTCTTAAACTTGCCAAGTTCGAAAGACCCTTGCTCTAGCAGGATAGTCAAGAGTGGAGGCCAGAATAAAGTCTCCGGTTCACGGTGGGTTTTGCCCCCAAGGATGCAAAACCCTGCAACTTGGCACGTTACACGAAGACTTCACCAAGCAAGCCCAACATTGATGGACCACCAGGTTCTCTTTCCTCAGACCAGGGTGTAGATAAGCAGGAAGAAAAAGAAATATCTTTCAGAGAAGAAACCCAAAACAAACAAGTGTGACAAACTTTAAGGATCTAGAATGAATTTGCTATACCAAATTCTGCCCAGGCCTACTCGCTACCCAAGTTCTCTCACCCAAGATCGTTTCAACTTTTTTTTTTTAATTTCCTCCTTTTTTCCCACCAACCCTGTGGACTTGGGAGATCTGGGAAAAGGACCTGGGACATAAACAGAGTTGAGGCTTGACTGAAAGTATGAGAAAAGCAGAAGCTATAAAGAGAGTTTAACTTTCTCCCAAGTTCATTGACCGGTGATAACTCTTTTGCGAAGTCACTACTTAAATGTTCAAAGAGAAAACTTCCAATAAAAAATATTGGGAATTCTTGGGAATTCTCCAACGACAAAGGAAGAAGATAAGCCTGGAGGAGAAGAGACGGGATACACCAAAAGGGTTAAACGCCACTGATACAGTTGCTGCCAAATCACTCATTTTTGGCGCCAGGCTTAAGTAAACAGCTTAGATATAAAGCACAGCCCAACCATATTAAATAAATAGTTGTTGTTTTTTTTAAAAAGATACTTAAATGTATCCTAAGCAGGACAAGGTACCGTAAAAAGAAAACAGCAAACAGCAATTAATATTTTTGGGGTAAACACTTCTTGTAAAGTTAGAAACAACGGTAGAACAGACAATAAGCATGGACGTATTTTTAATGTCTCAGGCTGCCATTTAAAAGGAGATTATCCTTGCTTAAAACGATCAGCTACAAGGTGAAATTTAAAGAGCTGCACATCCTGAATTGGCCTCTCTTATGGGTGTATACTCTTTTCAAATCGTATTAATTTTGAAGATATTCTATATTCTAGCTTGAAGAGCGATCGTGTGCAGCCCCAATATCCAGACATAATGTTTTCCTTTACGTTTTTGAAGGAAATGCATCCTAAAACTGAATTCCTTCGGTGAAATGGTCCCCAGCCCAGATCTGTTGAGCAATGTTTGACGTAGCTTCTCTACCAATGAAAGCTACAGAGCAACGCAACCAAGTCTCTCCTACTAATTAAACTGTGAGATGAAGATTACATCAGCCCATAATATTCCTCAGTGGAGAACGCCGTGGAGCTTCGATGCTCATTTTTATTAATTTTTCGGTCATGGGTTTCTTGAGGAACATCTCCACATTCTTGCAGATCTTTCCCAACACGCCTTCCCAAACAAGCCAAGGTGGGGCTCCCAATCAGCTCTGGTGCTTTGCTATTTTAATTCCACCAAGGTGACCTCTGCCCCCAATAAACTTACACTAAACTAACTCACCCAGGTGAATAAGGTAGATAAGGAGATCAGTATCACATCCGCTTTCTTACGTTTTGCAGGAATAGCAAACCAGAAGCTCCTCCCCTTTTTCGCCTAGTGCCAACTCACCAGTAAAATGTTGGCAAACATGTCAGAAGGAGTAAGATAAATATATATTTAACATAATGGGCAATAATCTGATTGAAAAAGTTAAGATTTCTGCTGGTTATATCAGCTCAGTCTGAAAGGCTAGGAAAGAGCACATTACTCAATTTAAAGAGGAAAAGAAAATCTTGGTATTGTTTTTTTTTTTAAAAAATCAGAGATGGAATGAGAAATTACAAGGATAACTGGTAGGAATTGCTTATTTAAGGGGCAGGCACCTCCCTCCTACCTGTTCCTCGTATTTTGAAGACTACCATCCTTAACCGATTCCAAACTGAGATTTGTGCAACATAAACGTCCACCATAAAGCAAACCACGTTGTGAAGGACGAGATGAACAAGAAAACCAAAGCCTGGCATTACTCAGCGGTCAAAAATAGTCAAGATTCAGACCAACAAACTCCTGCCCCTCCTGCAAACATCACACGAGAGATTTCCAGCCTCTTAAGAATGACTACTTTCTCTTCACTGATGGAGAAAGTCTAGGTGGCAACTGACCTTCCAACTGTTGGCCTGAGCAAGAAAGGAGACAATCACAAGGGCTGGTGTGAAAACCAGAAACTCCAGATTCCCACATCTTTCCCAGGAAGTATCTCTCTGCCTTCTGGAAATGACAACCATGATAAATTACACGCTGTTTTCTCCTCCTCCAGCTAGCAATCCACAGCAGCTTCTTACCAGCTGTTCGTTCCTTCATCCTTACGCAGAAAATTAACTCCACCACTACAACCAGCGTCATTGGGGACTCTGCCAAAACACAGGCTCCTGCTCAAGGCCTGCACACCTGGCCCCTGAGCATGGGAACTCGATTCCAGATAGTTTTACTCAATGGGCAACTCCATTGTCGGAAGCCCCCTCTCCTGGGAACGCTCGATTAAGAAGACCAGGAGTAGTAAGCGGGGAGCGTACCACACAACCCATCAAAGACAAGCTCTTTCGCCAATCCAAGGACGCCCTTCCCCAGAAACCCAACAGCGTTTTTAATTTCTCCTTGGGAAGCCACACCGAGACACCTTGCTTCAACAGACTTGGATACGAATAAATGAGTCATGCGCTTCGTTTGGCATCTCTGGTTTAATCTTTAGACATCAACTGCAGATGTTTCATTACTCATCGGCAGGAACTTCTCCAAACCCCTGACCAGTGATGGAAGCAAGCAAGCAGAGGAAAATTCTGAGCTCAAACTATTACCATGCAAAAGCAAATTAAGGCTGGGGAATTCTGGAGGTCGAAGTCCACGCATCTTAAAGCTGCCAAGTACGGAGAACACTGCTCAAACTTTGATGGACTACTACGTGTGGTCTCGGAAGCGCTCGCTCATCACAAGCCCGCCGTGAGTATTCAACGAGAAGAAATTGCCCGATTTCAAAATCCAAAAAAGTGGACTCACCATCTCGTCCAAGGCGTAGCGGAGAAGACCATGTTCGTAAAGGATGAAGAAGCGACGTTGCCATTTCTATAAAAAAAAAGGGGGGGGGGAGGAGGGAACAAGTAAAGAGGTCATGTGGTTAAAACCCTGGAGAACCGAAGGATCCAACAAGCCAAGATCGAATCCCCACAATTATTTGAACACCGCAGAAAACAGATCCCCTCCCCCGGTCCATCAGGATAGCGAGATGGATGGCATATTTAGTTGATAATACATTTAAAAACATTAAAAATCTGCGAGGAGGAAAGAGCGATCGATCCTTACCCGGGAGCGATGCACAGGGTTGTCGAAATCCGTGCCCTCTGGAGCTAGTAAAAGCCATCCACCGTATATAGGCTTGGCCTGAGAACAGGAGGAGGGAAAGGTAATTTTGAGTTGGCTTTAAAGGGCACAACTTCCAACCATTTACTCCATGGTGCAATTAATAGCATTGGAAGGGGGCAGTTAAGAAATCTGGCCGAACACAAGCAAGGTTGTCCTCGTTTTGCATGCACATTTGTGACTGGCAAGATGGTCATTAAACAAACGAGTCGCTAAGCGAAATTATCACCTCGCTTACAACTTGAAGTTAGCTTTTTGTTGCTTTGAAGGCCTGCGAAGGGCATGAATGAAGGATGGGTTATCAAGTGACTTTTTCATCACTGTCATAACTCTGAATGGTTGCTAAATAGAGACTCTGTAAGTGTACACATACATGCATACATACACACACACACACACACACACACAAGTGTCCCCGGGACCGTGTGTGATATAGGGCCTCTTTCAGTTAAGTGGTCCTCCTGAACAGGACTGATTTATGAATGAAGCTTTCGAAGACAACAACAACGGTTGTTGAACTGAGTTAACATCCACAACAAACACACAACTAAAAGTGCAGTGCTATATCTTTGCAACGTGCCCTTTCGGAGACCCATGACTGCGTTAAAAAGCAATTTACAGAGCACCAAGGGCTTTTTTTAAAAAATAAAATTTTATTTTATTTCGTACATCCACAGAAAAACAGAAAACAACAAACACAGCAATTTATCAGTCACTCGCTGAGCTGGGCAGCTACAAAACCCAAATAAATAAATAAAAATGGGCTCCTTTCCTTAAACACAAGGGATATCAAGATCTGAAATTTGCTCCCCTTTTCCAAAAAACGGAACTCATCGTGAAGGAGATTTTATTTTTGAAGCTCTGAATGTTTCCTCCTGTCTGCTGGCTTTACAGACCTAAAATAAACCTGCAAATACCTTGGAGCAGAAATAGCCTTTTGCTGGTATATTCCTAGCTCTGGATTAGTAATCAAAACCAAAGGAAAGCAAAATAAAAAATTACAGAGAAGGGCTGTTGGGTTGTTGTTGCTGCTGTTTTAAAAAGCAAAACAAAACTCTGAAAACCTGAAGCCAAAGCAGGGCTTGTTTATTTGAAGAAGAAACCAGCCAAATAAAAAACAGTCCCTGTATTTAAAAACAAAAATATCCTAAGCCAATTGGAAGGAGTCCTTCCCTAAACCTGTTCAGCAAGTCCAAGGATGTTGCAAGATGCTACACACAGACCTACAACTCCAGATAAAGAGGGGGAAACCTGTCAACGCCCCACCCCTGCCTGACATCTCAGGCTTGCAGGTTGTTTTAAAACACACAACCCGGAACTCGCAACTGGTTATCAAAAGCGTTCCTGATACAAATCCAGCCCACACCAAGATAACTTTCGAGTCTGGATTCTCTGCGCAGACATGCATTCCTTTCTCCTTGTAACCTGTTTATCCTGGTTTGTCCCCCAATGCAACACACCCACCCCAGTATTCTCTGCAAATTTATGCTGGCTTAATTGAAGTAAGTGAACGGGCCTACTTCACAGAGAAGAGGCTGTTGGGAGTGGAGTCGAAAGGTTTCCCACAACATAGTTGAACACACACAAACTTGAGCCAGGTATTTCATTCCCATTTCCTTCCTTCAAGATCATGGACTTTCCTTAAGATACTGGATTAAGTAGCAGCGTTTTTTTGGCCCTATCAGAAAAGCAAAGTAGACCTCATGAATATCTAAGTGAGTGCTTAAAACGTCTGCTTGTTTTGCTGTTCCCCTCACTTCCAAAGTTTCTAGTCCTCTCCCTATGATGCCCTTTCAAATTATTTTACAATGCAGCAGGCTGGTCCTGCTCAACTATACAAAACAGCAGAGCCTTAACAACCGGGTGGATAGATTTAACTTCGGGGTGCTAGACCTCATGAATAATGAAAGTACATTTGGAAAAGTATGCGGTTGAGTAGGTGGTGACTGGATTTTTATTTTTATTTTAAGAGGTGGGTAATCTCGTAAGGCAGGAAAAGAATGCAAGGATTTTCAAGGGGCCCAGAAAAATGCCATTCCTCATCATTCACTGCCCCACCCTGGAGCCCATAGGAGAGAAACAGACACCTGAAAATCTGCAATATTTTTTTTAATGGCTTAAATTTGCTAGTGTGTCTCCAAATTCAATGTCCCATTAGGCCTCCCTTTTCGTCACAATTTGCCCTGCGCTAGCAGAATCTTAAGAAGACACCAAGAAGGTAGGAATTATTCCTAATTTATAATCATCATCACCATCAGGACTTGAGAATCGAACTGCAGAGACTCTGGCATAAACCAGTGCAGGTGGTTCCAGTGGTACTGGGCACACTGCGTGCTGCTGTGTCTAAAGACCAAGGCAAGCACTTCAAAACAATTGGTGCCGACAAGATCACTAGTGGTCAGCTGTAGAAGGCGGACTGGGATCTGCTCGCATAATCTGTCGATACATCACGCAGTCCTAAACACTTGGGAAGGGTTCGACTGGTGATTTGTGATACGAAACCCAGCATAGTCATCTCGTTTGCTGTGTACACTGTCGTTTTTGTGTATAATAATAATAATAATAACAATAATAATAATAATAAGGAGGAGGAGGAGAAGAAGGAAGAGGAAGAGGAAGAAGAAGAAGAAAAAGAAGAAGAAGGAGGAGGAGGAGGACAAACTCATTGCAGATCTTGGCTTCTGTCTGCAAGCCCTGATCCTTTTGAATAGAGGCAATAAGGACAGCATTCAGAAGAAACCCGCAATGCCGATTCAGACAAGCGTGTGGAAGTTTGCCATTCAAAAAAAGAGCACACCTATAGGAGCTTACCATAAACAAGGAAGGGAGCAAACTTGCAAACCTCTTCAGGAAGTACTTGGTCTAAAGAGAATTTGCCTTCCTTGATATGAATAAATAACATTTGAGGATCCTTTCTGGCTCTCTTGAAGCGCTACTGGGATCCTCAAGGCCCCTCACCCCCTTCCAACCAGGTGCTCTGGTCTATGGTTACACACACGCACACACACACACAGAGCCCTTTCCGTATCCGAGCAAACCTGGATCTCGAAGCCAGCTTCCTCCAGCGCCCTCCAGGTGTTCTTGATCCGTCCAAACCTCCCTCGGCTCATGGTCCGTCTGCTCCCCACTCCCTGGGGCCCGGACTCCTTTGTGCTCAGTGAAGGTGCCGCCTTCCTTCCGTCAGGGCACCTGGGTCCCCACCCACACCTGCCCACACCCTCCGTGGCTCACGGCTGCCACACCCTTTCTGAATGCAGCAACAGCAGCGTGGGACTGCCTGGCTGCCCCTCCCCGGGGCTGAGAAAAGGGGATCACAGAATAACAAGAGTTGGGAGGGGCCTTGGAGGTCTTCTAGTCCAACCCCTGCCTAGGCAGGAAACCCTACACCACTTCAGACAAAGGGCTATCTAATCTCTTCTCAAGAAATTCCAGTGTTGGAGCATTTGCAAAGTCTGGAGGAAGGTTGTTCCACTGGTTAATTGTTCTCATTGTCGGGAAATTCCTCCTTAGTTCTAAGTTGCTTCTCTCCTTGATTAGTTTCCATCCATGGTTTCTTGTCCTCCCTTCGGTTGCTTTGGAGAATAACTTGGCTACCCCTCTTCTTTGGGGCAGCCCCTCAAATACTGGAAGACTGCCATCATGTCATTCCCTAGTTCTTCTGCCCAAGGGGATTAAACCAGGTTTTAATGTTTATAGGGCCCTCCATCAACAAAGATAAAGTTATGTTCTTCCTACATGGAGCGTCCTTCCTTCCTTCCCTTCCTTTCCTTCCTTCCTTTCTTTTACTTCCTTCCCTTTTTTTCTTTATTTTATTTCCTTCCTTTCCTCCCCTTTCCTTTCTTTTCCTCCCTTCCCTCCCTCCTTCCCTTTCTTTCTTTCTTTCTTTCTTTCTTTCTTTCTTTCTTTTCTTTCTTTTCCTTCCTTCCTTTCCTTTCTTTCTTCCTTTTCCTTCCTTCCTTCCCTCCCTTTCCTTTCTTTCCCTTCCTTCCTTCCTTCGTCATCATCTTAAACTGATGCATTGACAGCAAAGTAGCAGAGAAACATTAGCAATCAATGAACAAATTCATCCACGGAGACTTAGTGCTGTGATATATGAATGGTCATCAACAACTTTTTTTTTTCAAAAACCAGGAACCTTTTATGAATTTTCTGATGAAAGAAGACCAAAAAATAAATAAACGAGGTGATGATTTACGGGTTTCAGGGTTAAAAAAAAAATATGTGGACTAAGACAGGCGTTGAAGGGATTATTGTAACCTCTAAGAGGGATTTGGGCTTATAGGATTGTAATTATCTGTTGAAGTTCGGGCGACATTATAGTTATGTTTCTTTCTCGCCTATCTTAGTTTCCTTGCAATTTCTTTTCTTTTTTTTCCTGCTTTAAATTTGTCTTTTGCTTTATGTAAAATTCTCAGTAAACACAAACAAATAGAATATGCAGACGTTACTTAGGATCCCTCTGGGCCGAAAACCTCATTAAAACGCCTTTCGTACATCAACAGGAAGGAAAACCTCCACACTCAAGAGGAGTCTATCACCAAACTGTACCTGGAAAGCCAAGAATCACCCCCCCAATTATACGCTGGCAAGGAAAAATGACATTTGAGTGCCGGCTATTGCAGGCTATTGCACAACCCAATTAATAAACAAAACCTTCCTCAAAAAGGTAGCACAGGTCAAAATAAACTATGCAGTAATAATAATAAATCTAGAGTCTGACTCAGGATATTAAACTGCAAATTTCGAAAGCTCGTGCCGTCATAAATGTATTTTGCAGAAGTGCAGGCTGTTGTTTTTTTTCCTCCTTCTTCTTCTTTCGACTCCCATCTATTTACATTCACATCCTGTTCTCTCTGGTCACTTGGAAGAAATTCCCACTCGCTCCAGGCGAGGAGCTCCTGACCGTGCGAGCAGGGGGGGGGGGGGTAGGACATCTCCCCACAAGCCCAGGAACCTTCCCACTGTCGATCCAAAATGTCAACGCTTATTTATAAACAGCTTGCCATGAAATACAAGACGTTGGTACACCCTGATCCCGTCCTTCTGAAGAAGATCCCACCACGGCTTATCCTGTTTAAATCCCGTCTCGCTGCTTTCCTAAAACTCTCAGCAACTGCAGATATAATTTTTTTTTAATTGAAAGGAAAAAGGGAAGGCGGGGGGTGGGGTGGGTGGGACAGACACACACAGAACCTTCCTCGTGCACCGCTAGTCAAAGTGTCAAAAGCTTTAAGGAACCAGGGGCGCCTGGGAAAATGTTTCAAAGCTTAGAGGAGAAGAATTCCCCCCGGAGGCTGGCCCGTCCCAACACGCTCGCCAGATTCCCATCCGTCAAAGGGAAAAATGCTCGTTCGGGGCCAGAGAAGCAGTTGAAGAAAACTACGGGGGTGGGGGGGTTGGGGGGAGGTTTTGGGGGCAAAACCAGATTTGGGTCTGACTGTCTTTTCTTGTTGAGAGAGGAAGGAAGGAAGGAAGGAAGGAAGGAAGGAAGGAAGGAAGGAAGGAAATAACTAGGTAGAAGGAAGAAGAAAGAGGGAAGGAGGGAGGAAAGATAGAAGAAGGGAGGGAGGGAGGGAGAGAGGAAGGAAGGAAACTAGGTAGAAGAAAGAGGGAAGGAAGCAAGACGGAAGAAGGAAGGAAACTAGACAGAAGAAAGGAAGAGAAAGGAGGAAGAGGGGAAAGAAAAGACAGAAGAAGGAAGGAAGAGAACTAGGTAGGAGAAAGGAAGGAAGAAAAAAGGGAGGGAGGGAGGGAAGACAGAAGAAGGAGGAAAGGAGGGAGGGAGGAAGGACAGGAAGAGAACTAGGTAGAAGAAAAGAAGGAAGGAGAAAGAGGGAGGGAGGGAAAATTGTAAGAGAAGAATCACAGCCGGTAGAAGAAAATAGGAATGAAGGATCATCTTCCCTACTTTCCTGAATGACACATCCCCCCCCCCTGCAAAAAAAACCACCACAAAACATTTTGCCCCCAAGCCCCCTGAATGGAAAAGCTTTCAAAATGAAACGAAATGTATACATCATTCTCGAATTAAAGTACGAAGTAGATTCTCCTGCTCTTCCTAAAACAACACTGGCTGTCTCCAAAGGGTGCAGACTTGAGCTGCATTTGACCTGCCTGCCACAACACAACACAACAACACAAAGCCCTGGTCCTACTGCCACACCTCACTCTGTTCCGATTCTCAGCAAAACCCGGTGCTTTGGCTAAGGATTAGCAGTTTTCTATAACTCTTCCCTTCACCAACTGCTGGGCATTATGTCTACTGACACATTTGCACAACAGGCAATCGGCCTTATACACACAAGAGTGTAGGCATCCGGCCTGCATTTTACTACAGAGCTGTGGCTAAAGCAAGTCAAATGTGCAAACTGAACCGAGGGAATCAGGACTCAGGGTTAAAAACCAGCCTGACAAAATCCAACCCAGCTTTTCTGGTGCCTCGAAAATGCCAAGACTTAATTTCCCTTTTTAAAAAATTCCTTGCCCACCCAATCAAGAGATGGTGCCTCCTTCCTCCTTTTGCAAACAAAAAACAAAAAAACAGGGCAGTCTCTCGAAGCTTGTTGGTTGCCACAGCAAACGCTGGAAAGACATCTGACATTTAGTTAAAAAAAAAAAAACCAACAAACACCCCATTTTAATCTTCACGATTAGCTCCTCAGCAGTTGGATTTTTTGCACTATGAAACCACCGACCACGGATTTAAGAATTCAACAGCCATTCAAAACTAGCTTTCCAGAATCTGGAAAAGCGTTATTAAAGCATTATTTTTCAAGCTTGGCCCTGTTCAGATGGATGGATTTCAAGGCTTGGGAGTTGGAAGCCCACCCACCTGAACGTAACCAAGTTTGAAAAAAAAAAAAAACTGCTTTGAAGGGAAAAGAGCAGAAGACTTGAGTGCAAACACAAAACAATCGTGCCAAAACCTTCTCCCAAAAAAGGTGGCACACAGAACCGATCTGGGCTCTGGCTGGCCGCCTTCCGAAACTTGCTTTAAAAGGTTGAAAGACATGCAGTTTTCACGTCCAACTATACCCAAAAAGCTATCCAGATGTAGATCCAAGAAAGAAAACCTCATTACATTCCAAAGGACTTTAAAGGAAGCCTGGACCAGATTATGCCCAGATTACGGCCAAGGTCTTCATTACCACGTACAAGGTTAGCACAGGAGTAATCTTGTTAGCAAAGATCTCACCTCCATCTTTTGACAGTAATATTCTCCGTTTCCAGAAATTGCTTTGCAATAATAGACAGAGGGAGTTTTGCTAACAAGCCAGAGATCTTTCTTTTTTTTAGGGTGGGGGCTGCAAAGATGGACACTCTCATCATTAGGCCTTTGCTACCAAATCACAGCAGATGGGATACTGGTTAGGATTTAGCCTTTCGCAACAAATTCCAAGTTCAGCTCTGATCCACCTTTTCTTCTTGCAAAAAACAATCTGTTTAGATTACCAGAACTGGCTTTTCTGCATGAGCTACTTTGCCTTTGTCCTCATTTTCAGAAGGGAAGGAAGGAAGGCCTCTTTCGCTACTGTAGTTAGGAAGGAAGGCAGGAAGGAAGGGAAGGAGGGAGGGAGGAAGGAAAGAAAAGTGAAAATAGGAAGGAAGGGAGGAAATGGAGACAGAGAGTGAAGGAAGGAAATGGAGGGAAGGAGGAAATGGAGGAAGGAAGGAAAAAGAAGGAAATAGAGTGGAAGGAAGGAAAGAAAAGTGAGAATAGGAGAGAGGGAGGAAATGGAGGGAGGGAGGAAGAAAATGAAGGAAGGGATGAAGGAAATGGAGGAAGGAAAGGAAGGAAGGCCTCTTTCGCTACGTTAGGAAGGAAGGAAGGAAGGAAGGAAGGAAGGAAGGAAGGAAGGAAGGAAGGAAGGAAGGAAGGAAGGCATCTTTTGGTACTACATGAAGGGAGAGAGGGAGGAAGAGAAAGGCCTCTTTTGCTGTTGGACATCATGCCGCATCTTCCTAACCCTTGGCAATCCTTTCTCAAAGGCGCACCGTCGCATCACATCAACCATAAACTGCACCGTTTCCTTTAAGGAGCAGCAGAATAATCCTGGGTACACACTGTAGTACAAGTGTGGTCAACAGGTATTTGTCAGTCTCACCTGTGTGGAGTTGGGTCCCTGGCTGACTTTGTGAGTCACTCTTGGCCCTTCGCACAAAGCTTCTCGCGGTATGCTCAGGTGCACACCGACG